GGTCGTGGTATTACACCGGGTGTGCCGGCCCTGCAGTGCTAAGATGTTAAAGCGGGCACTACCACTGTTAGCTTATAGGTTTATGTCTCGTTACGATTTGGCATAGATGAAGAGTAAAGTCTGGAAGAATACATAAGCTTAATTTTGTTCTTTTTAATACCATGCGGATGTCGTGGGCAAAAGCTTGTTGTTATGTCAATTGATAATTTTTATCTACAATCTTGTTATATTTTGGAAATTCCACGTGCTTTTTATCGAGATTAAGAGATAAATAGTTTCCTCATTTGTTCGTGGAATTTGATTATGTCCTCTATTATCTAATTGGATTTCCATCAGTTTTCACTATCGAAAAACATGTACAGAAACATTATTACCAATTTATTCAAAGACTAGCTCTTCCCATCGACCTCGTTCAGGCATATTAAGATAGAAAAGTAGCTCATAATATGCTACCCTAGCTACCCTCCAGTGAAAGTCCGGTCGTAATCGGCCCAGCCGTTCCGGAGATTAACCGGAACGCGGCTTGCGGACAGATAGACAAAAAAAAATTAAATGCGATTCTCGTTATCAGCAACTCAAATACATCATTTTCCCGAAATCTGGAATTTTTCTTTTAACATTACAGACACTCCAATTTTGTTATATGTGTAGATAATCTGTTCATCGACTTGATAGTCTGTCCGAATTTGGATTTTTAGGCAAAATCAAAACCGAACTATCGACTGTTTCAGTCGGTTATTATTGAAACCAATATATCTTGCGACTTCGTCCGCACTAAATAAAAAAAATACTATACGACAGTTGCATTTAATATCTTTGTGTTTCTTCAAAATGCAGACATCACGATGTTTTTCTTCACCCTAAGAAACATAGTACAATTAAGGAATCTGTCGGTGTTAACTGTTTTAAAATATACCTTTTCTTGCAGGCATATACACGACAAGACGTATAGAAAACGTGATATGAGGAAATGCTTTAATCAAAGAGAAGTCACACGACGTAGGGATAGAGTGACAGGGTTACACAGTGTCGATTACGAGATAGACAAGACTTACAATGTTACTATAGACTCTTTGCCTATAACAGTCGTGAATGTTCGACTGATATGCAATAAAATATTAACACCATGGTGTCAGTGTAATGAGCCGGATAAAACGAAGAAAAGCTAAAGTACCCTTTTTATTATAATATTTTAATAACTCATGGATTTCGAAAATGTGCATTAAAGGTCGTCACATAATAGTCACATATGTCAGTCCTAAAATGCCGCCTTTTATTTCATATATTTTACACAGATATTCAAAATATATATAAAGTAGACATAATTGTGTTTGGAAACATTTTTTCACATAATCTCAGTAGCGCTATCTGCTGTCCGATAGTCACAATATCAAACAAATCATTTATACTCTGAGAAGCGTTTTAGCGTGTCCAAGACATTGAAAGTACAGTACAGATAAAGTACTGGTGAGAATATGGTGTTCTCTGTCTAGTCTATATATTTCTTAAATGTATGATTTTACATGACGACGTATACGGTTGATGCCGCACATTGGGCTGTATCAAGTTGCTCCATAGACAACTTTATCTGATGTTTGAAATGTCTCTTTTTTTTGCTTGAATGTGCATTGTATCAGTAAATGCATACCTTATAACGTAATATTTATCTTGTATCGATGTTTTTGGCGCAATTAGAACGTTTTCTCTGAAAATTTGTA